TTAATTTATATTACATTTTCACGAAACCAGTTATGAAATTCTCTCTTTTCATCACTTTAGGGATGTTCAGATTTGAATTTCCTATGTTGATGACCAAAAGATATAGATTTAAAAAGATAAAAAAAAATTAAGGATGAAAGTTAGAGATAATATTAGTTACTTGATATACTTTGTGACTTCTTCACAGCTATTCAATACAAACCAATCCATGTTACCCATTTCCGTTAAATTAAGAGTTTTGATTTGAGTTGTGCTGGTCGGTCGACATTTAGACTCAAACATCCAAAACTTTGTTTTTTCAATGACAACATCTTCATTTCTTTCCGGACCATTCTTTACATCTCGAAGGTACATCGAACAAAATGATAAAGCTTCTTCAGCAACATAACCCTTAGCTATAGAACCTTCCGTCCTCGCCTTGTTTCTGACATAGTTTTTTAGTTTTTTCATATACCTTTCGAAGGGATACATCCATCTCATACATACCGGGCCTCCGGTAATCGCTTCATCAGGTAAATGCAAAAGTAAATGAACCATAATGTCAAAAAACGCTGGAGGATAAATCAATTCTAACTTGCACAAGATTGCAATAATGTCCACTTTTGCTTTCCTCATATCCTCCACCTTAAATGTTATGGAACAAAGTTGCTTGAAAAGCATACAAAGGTCTACAATAGGTGTATAAGTGTCTTTGTCTAACAACCCTCTTACTCCAATTGGTATCAAACGTTGCACAAGAATGTGGTGGTCATGCGATTTTAACCCAATAATGTTAGTATTGGTATCGTTCACTTTCTTACTGACGTTAGAACCAAACCCATCCGGCAGTTTAACATCTTTTATAAATTGACAAAAGAGTTGTTGACTAGATTTCATGAAAGAGTATCTTGCATGGGGTCTATGAAACTTGTCACCATTTTTTTGCAACCATTCATTTCTTCGAATGTTTAGAATTCTCAAGTCCTCTCGTGCATTTGATGTGTCTTTTCTTTTATCGTTCATTAGAAGAGTACCTAACAAACTCTCGTTCACATTTTTCTGGACATGCATGAGATCTATGTTGTGTTTCAACTGTAGAGAAGACCAATACTTGAGTTTGAAGAAAATGCTTCGTTTTGACCAGTTTAACTCGTAATCTTGCCGCTTTGGCTCCCCGCCTCTATGCTCAGGATGTTTACCCGGTTTACGAGTTAGTAGACGACCTAGTTGCTCTTGTATGTCGTCATTACTAAAGTGTCTCGGAGCGGGTCTTGTCTCTTCCATCCCGTTAAAGTCCAACCTCTTTCTTAACGTATCATTAGCATCTAGGAAACGACGATGACCGATATATACGACTTTGTTTGTTGTACGGTACAAAGGAGTGTCTTCATTGCAAGTAGCACATGCTCTATACCCTTGCCCACTCCAACCCGATAGACTACTACGAGCTGGCCAGTCGTTTATTGTCCACAACAACATAGCTCTCATCGTGAAGAATGTGTTTGTCACCGCATCTTTAATACGTACGCCTGAGTTCCACAAATGTTTAAGCTCTTCCACCAACGGCCTAAGGAAAACATCCATATCCTTACCAGGAGCTTTCGGGCCAGGAATCAACAAAGTTAACATGAATGATGACTCTTTCAAACAAAGCCAGGGTGGCAGATTGTATGTGGTGAGTATGACCGGCCATGTGCTATGTGGATTACACATGTTTGCAAATGGATTGAAACCGTCAGCTGAAAGACCTAGGTGTACGTTACGGGGTTCACTCGAGAAGTCGGGGTATTTTTTTATCAAAATCTTGCCAATGTTACCCATCAACAGGATGAAGCATCACACCATCTTCTGAACGTCCAGTACTATGCCAAATCATATTTTTGGCAGTGTTCCTCGAACAATATAAACGTCGTAGTCTAGGGGTCACAGGAAAGTAGCGTAACACCTTATGAGGTACTTTCGTACCCTTGGTGTTTTTATCGATGCATCGGCTCTCTTTACAAACGGGACAAACTTGCAATGATTGTGTTCTTTCCAAAAGAGACAACAATCGTTTTTGCACACATGTATCGACTTATACCCCAGACCAATAGACTTCAGTTTCTTTTTGGCTAGATAATGTGAAAGGGGAACCTTGTTGCCTTTGGGAAATGCTAATTGCAACAACTCAAGGAGTTGATCAAATGAACTATCAGTCCATTTGTTGTTCACCTTGATATGCATTAACTTTGCTAGAAACTCAAGGGAAGAAAAGATGCAACCAGGATACAATTTAGTTTTCACTTCTTCCAACAACTGTGCAAAATCATCATCCACACCGCTACCCCTTGTATTCGAGGTTCCTTCATCAAGGTTGGTATCATTTTCTCTCGACTCCCACATCACATCGTCGATTAAATCGGCCATTTTGTTACTTGGCAAGACGACTGGAGGAATAAAAGATTCACCATGATAGATCCAGATTTTGTACGACTTACTGAAACGATCTTTAAATATATGGTGTTCAACTGCAGTCAGGTACTTGAAGTAACAGTTATCACATTTTTCACACGCACATCTGATTTTACCATTACTATCAAGGTGTGACTTGGACTTCTCGATAAAAGCTTTGAGTCCTGCTTGGAACTCGGGATGGTTTCGATATGGATTAGTAGTCCAACTTTTATCAATAGACATGATGTTGCTGAAACATAATTTTGGGTTTAGAGTTTAGTATACAGAATTAGTATTGTTTTTTTCCAATCCACATTTTTTTTACAATTAAAAGAATAAAAAAATTAAAAATTAAAAAATTAAAAATATTAAATTAAATTTTTTTTATTTTTGTGTTTTTAATTAATTTTAATTACAATTACTTGTAATTTATATAGGCAAAAGTTATAAGTATTAAATAAAAGGGTCAAAGATCCAACAAATCAATTTTTTCCACACGTTTGTTTTATTTATACTGGATGTACAAATATATCCATGATTATTGAAAAAAAAATTGTTTGTTTCTTTTAATATGTTTAGCAATTAGTTTTTAATGAATAAAATATTAAATAAAGAAAAATTAATAATTTGATATCCATAAAAAAAACATTTCTTACTATTGTACATTTTTATATTTTTTATTTATAACATTTTTTTTTCAATTATACGATTGCAATTTAAACAATTATATTATGTTGTTGTGTTGTTCTTTTTTACCGTCGAGATTAAAAAATATATATATTTTTTATTTATAACATTGTATAAATATTTTGCAAAAAAAAATTTAAAAACCAAAAAAGACATGAAAATATAAATATGAAACTATAGAAATATAACATTATAAGTTAATTTGAAGATCATAAGTTAACTATAGAACTTATTGGTTAATTTGGGGTTAGCTTGGGAAGAAACTAGAAACTTTCTAGTATTTGTATATAAGTTTTTAAACAATTTTATAACATTTTTTTGTGTTTTTTTTTTCCAATTATAACAATAATTTTTTTTTATTTTTTTTTTCAATTATAGCATCCTACTTATACCAAAACCACATACTTTTACATAATACATAAGAGCATGAAATTCACATACTTTCACATACATATACCACATATACACCAAATACAAATACATTCACATACAAACAAAATAACATCCTACTTAAACCAAATACACATAATTTCACATATATAGATAATAACATCCTATTTATACAAAATACACAAATTTCACATTCATATACCACATTTACAACAAACATACATACATTCACATACACACACAATAACATCTACTTATAACAAACACATATAATTTCACATATATATAGATAAGAACATCATATATATATATATACTTCTACTAAATACTCATATACCAAATATACATCAAACACACATACATTGGCATATATACACCAAATTCACATATATTCATACAAATATAAAAAATACACACAATTTTCACATATGAAAATTTTCACATAATTTTCACATACAAATACCAAATTCACAAAAAATTGAAATAATAGAACCTGTAGTGGCGGAAATCAATGAATATGTAGCCGAAAAAATTGGTCTTCACCCGAAAATACCCTCACCCGTAAACCCAAAGACAACACCACTAAAAACACTGAAATTGAACAATTTCTTGCAATTTAATCATCAAATGCAGCTAGAAATCGAAATTAACATACAAATACAAAGAGATACAAGAAATTCAACTTACCTTTCTTCAATAGATGAAGCTAGAAATCGCTCCCAAGAAGCCCTAACCACCCCTGATCCCTAATCTCACACAATGTGGGGAGATATGTTGTTGGAATCAACTAATTGAACAAAAAATCGAGGGAACTTGGAAGAGGCGCACCGTATAGCAGCAACAAACAAAATGCAAAATGGGAAGAAATGAGCAATCTGCGTGCGTTTTTTTTTTTATCTGCGAGAGCCTTTAGCGGCGACAACTAGGGCTTTACCGGCGACTAAAGTCAATAGCGACGACAATCTGGAGGGAAGGGTACCGCGTCATTTTTTAGGTAACTATTAGCGGCGACGTTTTAGACCTTTAGCGGCGACACAAATGTCGCCGATATTAGGTTTGTACGGATAAGGGACCCCAGCCGTTGGATTAGATACTTGATTGAACGGCTGAGATCTAACAGAGGGGGAAAACGCGGATTCGAGTGATAAGCCTTTAGCGACGACACTATTACCGGCGACATGGACTTTTAGCGGCGACAAATGCTAGAGTCGCCGCTAAAAGTCCATGTCGCCGGTAATAGTGTCGCCGCTAAAGGCTTATATTCTTGTAGTGGTCATCGTTGGTTGTCGGTTTTACCTTCAAATTTGCATAAATTAAATAAAAAAAAACTTTCCAAATTTAAAGATAATACTGCTCATAAAATTGGAGCCACGGAAACAAAGTAAAAAATTAACAACCTCAAAGATTTTGGTATCAATATCCCAAAAATAAATATCCTATAAATTATAAATATTATATTAATTTTTCAATGAAAAGTTAGGGTAATTTATATGTGGTGTAAATGAAAATCAATGTCTCCTTCAAAGGTATGTGTGTATCAATATCCTAAAAATAAATATCCTATAAAATTTGAGTTGTATATAAAATGGTTTTATGATCTATTACGGATTCTCACAAATACCTTGAAATTCATAGACTGCAGCATACGAAATCAAAATGTCAGACGAAATTCCTTTCCATATCCAAGAAAATATCATCAAAAGGCTTCCTGTCGTATCATTGCTTCAATTCAGATCCGTCTCGAAAGCATGGAAGTCTTTGATCGACTGCTCTAAGTTTATTGCTGCTCACAGCGTTACTCAGGCGGAGCATCTACTTTTAAGCTACGAAGAGCCGCCCCAGATGCTTTTAAGCTACGAAGATCCGGTAAAAATTGAGAACAAATATGTTTTGCTTCTGGATAATGACAGTTTCCTTCAACAGAGGTTTGATTATACCCTTCCCTTGTCCATTAAACTACTTAAAGAGTTATGCATAGTCGGTAGCTCTCTCGGAGTGTTGTGCTTTCAGTTTTATTATGAGGAGGAAGAGGATTTTTGTACCAACTTGAAAAGAGAGATGGTTCTTTGGAATCCATCGATTAGAAAGTCAATTGATGTTCCTGTGCCTAAGAAGTTTAATCCGTACCATGAAAGTAATCTTGGTTTTGGGGTTTGTCCTGTTACCTGCGACCCTAAGATAGTTGAGATCACACTATTCCACAAACCTAGTTACCATTGTGAAGCTAAAGTTTATACTGTGAGCTCAAGAAAATGGAGAAATCTTACTAGCAATCTTCCTAGTAAACCATTTCGTGTCTTCTGGCCTCATGTGGTTGTTGATAGGTTTATCTATTGGTGTGCTTTTGACCCGATGACTACAGATAACGGGTTACTGAATCATAATCTGATTATGTCATTTGATATGACTATTGAGAATTTCGGAGTGGTAGACCTCCCAGATAGTTTAAGGCGCCACCCTCCCCTTCAGCTGTGTATTTCTAAGGTAAGGGAGTCTCTTGTCATGCTTGAATATGATAGCTATGTGAAAGGTGCTTGTGGTGTATGGGTGATGGAGAATGGTGTTGAGAAATCATTTACAAAGTTATTCACTGTTGATGCACCATATTGGTCAAGGACAATAAAAACACTTGGATTTAGGAAGAGTGGTGAACCTATCATGGAAGTGGAATATCGTTATGATGATACTTCTGAACAGAGAGAACTTGTGGTCTATGAGCCCAACTCAGGACGCTTCAATGATCTTGAGATCTATGGAACAACTGAAACATTCGCTGTGAATTCCTACATGGAAACACTGGTAATGCTTGATCGGTCTGATTGCAATATCGAGGCTGAAGTTGATGGCTTTTAGTGTGGACAATTGAGGAAGATAATTACAGAAATTAGTTGAAGTTGATAAAAAGTTAAATGCATTATATATAAAAGTTGATGCCGTGTTGGCTGTAAGATCAATTTTATAGCTTTTATGAGTGATGTTCAGTTATTATTTGTTTAACTTTGGTGGTGGTGATCATGTTCTGTTGCTTTCCATACAACACTGCGCCTAATTAATTATGACCAAAAGGGTTTGTGTGTTCCTCTAAACATAGTAACGAGCAACATCAGTGCATGATTGCCTCTAATTATGATGAAGATATCAACGCCATTTGTCAAGAAATGGAACCCTGAAGTCCTGTTCTAGAATTTCATATTCCTTGCACCACCCAAAATTAATATGTCAGAGTTTCAGCATTTCCTCTAGGTTTATAGTCTAAGGTTTTGAGCATCATTTACAATTTGTAATACCATGAGGTTTGTTATCGGTGGAATATTGTGGAATATTGTATTTCGTGAAAATTGGAATTCTCATTAATTAAATGTATAAATACACAAACAAGGGCAATGGCCCTGAAGAGGACTAATGCACATATACATGCAACATGCTACCAATGGGCCTGAAATATAACATAATTAATACACTAATAGGCCATAGATCAATTAATATTGAATGATTCCTCCATAGGCCATAAATCATATGAATGTGACATAATATTTAAGAACAAAAAGTGTTTGACCTTGCACTGTTTGATTCACTTGTAGTTGATAAGTGAAATAATCTGGTGATGCATAAAGCAACTAGTAAAATAATTCTGTTTGAGTTTCTCTCTTTTCCACAAGTAAAATCTAGTAACACATGTCCATAACTTTCCACACTAATTTTTAAAAAGAAATAGATATAGAGTAAGTAATACATTAGAATGAGAAACTCGCTTTCCATTATAGTGTTGTGACATAATATTTAAGAACAAAAAGTGTTTGACCTTGCACTGTTTGATTCACTTGTAGTTGATAAGTGAAATAGTCTGGTGATGCATAAAGCAACTAGTAAAATAATTCTGTTTGAGTTTCTCTCTTTTCCACAAGTAAAATCTAGTAACACATGTCCATAACTTTCCACACTAATTTTTAAAAAGAAATAGATATAGAGTAAGTAATACATTAGAATGAGAAACTCACTTTCCATTATAGTGTCTGATATAATTGTTGATGATGATTTCAAAAATACCTTTTATGAAGGCTTTAGTAGAGTTCATTCTCATCAAAGATCTTGCGCAAAATAAACTTGACAGAAAACAAGCTAATACCTATTAGTTTTTGGATAAATTTAGAGGAAATGGAAACCACAACTAACAAATAGTTCTGGTTGACGCTCATACAACAAACTTACCAACATTATATATAAAAATTCAGTTACGATTTAGGGGTAAATTCACTTGGCTTGAGCTTAGTTATAACAATTTTAGCTTAATATACATAATGTTGTTAGCTCTTGACTTGACTATGGGATCATTGTTGTTGGATTAAAGAAAATCACCACTCTTTCCCGATAAATGATTGCAACTGATCATGGATTCTACGGTTGGGTCCCTAACCGAAAGAATGCACCTCTGCCATAAGATTGACTTACAACCTCAGCTTTATTCCCTTCTGAATTCTTCTTACAATTGTTGACACCAACCAGTAAATTTAAATTTGTATACTAATAATTCGTATATCTTTCCACATCTTCAACCTTGAATAGAAACTTTGTAATCTTGTTGTTTTTGTTCTTCCCAACAAAAACAATTCCCAAAGGCTTCAAACAAATTTCTCCATCATCATAATTCTTGAAGTTCTTCTCTCCTTTTAATAAAGACTGTGGAACAGTAATTTGTTTTCCCAAAGTAAGTGCAAATTCCACATCATTCATTGCAAGACAATCATAGTAATTGTCTATAAACAAATTTATGTGAGCAAATTCAAGAAGAAAATCTTCTTTCTTGGTCAAATGTAGCTTCGAAGTATCAACACTTTTCAAAATCTTTGCTATACTGATGAGGTCATTAAGACTCAGCAATGGGAAGTCAGTTATTAGGAAGTCGAATGCAACATTGTTTGCTTGAACTGCATGATATCGAAAATTCTACAGAACACCTTCGAACAGAACATCTTTGGAAATGTTTAGCACTCGAAAACCTTTGACCAGTGACCAAATCTCTTCTTCCCTTTTACCAAGAACAACATGAAATATGATTTTCATCCTTTTAAACTCCTCTTTGTCTTCAAACTTATCAATAATCTGATATTGAAAAGCGATAAACATCATTCCAGTGATTGGGAAGTCAAGGTGATTGAAATCTGAGTTTTCAATATCAACGCTCTTTTTGAGAACTTTGGCAAGCTCGTGCATAACCCCACTGAATACATTAGCTTCAATTGTTTTGTAGCCATAGTGTTTGGATGGATCACCTTTCCTTTTCTCTTCAATTGTTTTGCTGATGGTGGTGGCTTCGAACTTGACCCCCCCCAGTAGATGACCCAATGACAATACCTTTGGTTAAAGGTTTCGAAGTCATGGTCGTAGAAGTAGTTGTTATAGAAACATGAAATGTATTGGGAATTTGTGTGCTTGACACCTTTCCAACAACTTCACCTTGTTCAACGTTCTTTGATGCACCCACACCCTTCTCTCCCCCTTGCACCCCTTTGGAAACAGGTGTGTCAGCCATGAGCATCAAATTCACCAAATTGATTAACGGACCAAGATCGAATTTTAATCTGGACTCCAACGAAGAAAACAGTTGGGAGATGGACTCTTGAGAAATTGTTGAAGGAGGAGGAATAGAAAGCTTAGAAATCATTTCCTTCACTTCTGTCAAGACTCCTTGAAAATGGACCAACTCCTTAGAGTTTAGAGAAGTGTGAGATTCAACTAGCTTCGTGACTGCATCAGAAACTATATCAACATTAGTATGAAGTTTCGAATAGTTCTAAATCAACTTTCGCAACCTCCTGTGTCATCTCCTGTCGAAGCTCTTCGATCTTCAAATTTACATCTTCTTCAATCCGTTTGACAACGTGAATGAATAACAAATGACGTTCCTTTGCAACAACTCTTAAATCCTTTACCTCATGATTAAACGAGTCGGATTCAAACTTCACTCGAAGTTCGTTATTTTTGTCCATCTGATCCAACATTGTTTTCAGTTGAAGCTCTTGAGCCTTTAGCATCACACAACCTCGATCCCAGTGACATTGTATCGAATACCAGCATCAGCATGCAGCTGGAGTAAAGAATTAAGTTTTCGATTGAGGATTTTGAATTGCTTACCAGACATTAACATATGATCTGGTATATCCTCCTCTTCTATATCAAACTGAAGATCAGCAAAAGACATACACACATCATCATCCTCAGTTGTAGTATCAGGAATCGATGTTGGACCTTTAGTGGATTGCGAAGGAAATAGAGATGTGATTGTTTGATTGAGAATGGTATGAAAGGTAGGTGAAATGGTGGATTGTGGTAAGGAAGTAGAAACAGGTGATTGAAATAGTGGTATCGAAGTACCCGTGTCAATATAAGAAGTTTCGAAAGTATAGGAGCCTAGAATTGATTCCGAAGTACCTTGGGCTTAAGAATTCGACACCCATTCACCCTTAGTGACATTTGCGTCCATATCAAATATATTCACAGTGATGCCTGAAGTTCGCACCTCGCCCATATTGGACTTGGCTTGAGAAAATTTGGGTGGTATGATCGAAGTTTGCTTAGGGATGGATAATTGCAAATGATCACCAAGATGGATGGTTGTGTCCACTGTAAATGTTTCCACATTTACATCAAGACCACCAGTCGCCTCGAAAGTCGACTTGACTGGTGAGTCCCTCTGTGGTGACAAAAAACCCATATCAGTATGTATAAGTGGAGATTGAGACTTACCACTATCATCGACATCTTCAATAACCACCTCATCCAATGGATCTTTAACCTTATTTTGTTTCTTTTGAATCTTCTTCACCATTTCGTGAGCTCTTTGTTTCTTAGATATTGGAGAAACAGGAGCTGGAATCTCACAAATTACGACACCCTTGCGATTGAGTTGAGGCTTATGAATCCTCTTTGTAAAAGGAATACTCCTCGTAGAAGATGGTGACTTTTCAGGAATTGTTTCGACATCAGGCCTTTCCGGTGAATGACGAGGTCTGTGAGCCATCTTATTCAATCCTTTGAGAATACCAGACTTCGAAGGCATGACAACCTTTGCTGATTGAGAAGTCTTTTTGGGAACAGGCTGAACAACTTCTTGTGGAATAGAAACTGGATTAGGTTTTGAAACACTAGCCTTCGTAACATTTTTTGGTGTAGACTCAGTAGCAGGGTTCGACGGACTAGCCTGCATTGCTTTCTTCGAAGGTTTTCCCCTTTTCACATTAGCCTCCTTTTCCAACAGAACACCAGTCTCAATCGAAGGATTGATTGTTTGAAGATAAGCAATAAGAACTGAATCAGCAGGATGTACTTTGTGAAGCATTGCATCAGGAATCCTCTCAAAAGTAGGAATAATTTCAGAATCATCCTGTTGATAGATACCAAACTCAACTTTAGGATCATCAACAGGTACCAAGATCCCTTCCTTTTCGTAAACATACTACAATATGAGGCTCCAGTAACGAGCACACTGTCACACCCCGAAACCAGAATGGCGGAAACGTTCTGGGGTGGAGGACGTCATGTATAGCATCACAACCAATGAATAACGGTTATCATAGCAACACAACCATTACAGTGAATACTTAAGTAAAAATGTTTACATCAATTCTGAAACTTGTTTGAATTACATCATATAATTTGTATGAAGATAAATATTAAACTCTTATCGCTTCAACTCTTCAAAAACCCAACATGTACCTGTCTACTGATTTCCTGAGAATACAAGCAGTTTGAAAATATCAGCATAACGCTGGTGAGTTCATAAGCAGTAGTTTTTAACAGAGATGTTTGTATAGCTTCAAGAAAATCCGATATTTTCTTTATTGAAAACGTAGCGT